CCTTAGACCCTGCTTGATCTCTTTACAGCCTGACCCTGACCCCAACACTAAAGGTTAACCAGGAGAAATGCGACCCAAGTAGGACTCTCTAGAAAAGTGGTGCCGCACAGTAACGCCCCTTTTCTGCATGTCCAGTCAGGTGTGTCCCTTTAACAAAGTCCGTCAAATCAGGTGTGTCACTTTAGAATCGCCTTTCCTTGTGACACGCCTACTCGTCTGCAGAGACCCCTACTTGGTGAAAACCCTACCCCGTAGCCCCGCCTTTTCCGGTGTCACTATTAACAACAACCGCTAGCTAGCTAGCTGTGCTCTGTGTAGTATTTCGGACTTCGGCCTCTTCAGGCGTTCTGCAGCAGACTTAAAATGCACGAGTACTCGAGTTAGAATCGGGATTTTGCTCCGTTCTCTGTTACGGTTCGTTGGGTCGGGGTACTGGGCCGTTTTATTTAGCAGACTGCCCGGAGTCGAGCGTGGAGTGAGTCCAGTTTGTTCTCGAGGTGAACTAACAGAGGAAGTTAGCAGAGAGTCGTTTCCGCTGTTTCTTTTTTCTTCTCGATAAACTCCTCACACCAGACGATTTTTGGACACAGCCAACACAGAGGAGCTGAAACCCGGTGGTGTCTCAGCAGTTTTTGTCAACGAGGACTGAAGAACCAGAGCTAAACGATGCGAGTTATATAGTCCTAAATACTGAGGGTTAGCTTGGCTAAACCAGCCCCTTGTTGTTCCACGCTTTACTTCGTACAGAGGGTCTGCCAGGGTTGCCAGATCGGAATGATAGTTTACAGCCCAAACACAACGTAAAACATACATGCACTTTATCAGATATTATATTTACTTTTTTTTTCATTGTAGCTCTGCAAAGGCTGTTAGAGACATTTATTGTGAAAACCTGTAAAAAAAACATATTGAAAGTGTCTGGGAATGGGTGGAGATATATGTGTTAGCTGCAAGCATGTGCATAACAAAAGTTAATAGCCCATGGATTGTTTTGCAGAAGAGGTCCCACTAAATATGTTGAAAAGCAGCACAATTTTTAACAACCTGTCCAAAGCTGTTTTTCCAGCCCAACTCAACACCAGCTCAAAAGAAGCCCAGTTTGACAGAAGCCCACTCTGGCAACCCTCAGCTGTTGAGAAATAATTGCTTGGACTCTATTGAAGTTTTAAACAATTGGATCTGATTTTATCCAGTTGCTAATGTTTGTCTGTGACGTATGTAGTGAGCCAGCTCGAACGTGAAGGAAGCTAGAAGCTTACTGGAATTTGCGTGTGCTGTAAATTACCATCCCCTACTGGGAAGGGAGAAGTACCAAACCTAATGAGATGTCTGTAAATGATTTCTGCAGGTTTTGTGCGACAAATTTAAGAATTTCTGGAATTCTAGCAAACAGCAAATTAATATTCGACAGTAAGGCTGTTGATGATATATCGTCTCAGCTGTCAAGGCTAGGTTTAATCGTTAAAAACACGCCGCATCGTTCATACCGGATCTGTCGTAGATGCTGCACTATAATCTCGAGGCTGCTACACGATACAGTGGTTCTTCAGCAATGGAAAGACAGTGAGAAGGCAACTGTTGTGGAGACCTGTCTGGAGAAAGATGCAAATGCCTCTGCCTCTACTGGCAAAGGAGACGGAGAGCCTTCACCACCCAAAACCGCAACAGCACTTGAGTCCGGGATATCAGCCAACTCGCCTGAGAGAAGCAGTATGGCCGAGGTAGGGTAATTACATTAGACATTGTTTGTCTGTCAACAGAGCCTTCAGCAAGTCCATCAGAAAAATAAACTTTTACCAAACTCTGAGAGAGTAGGACCACGACTATTAGAATTGAGCAAAATTGTGTAGGAAGGCCAGGCAAACTGAGAGCTAATGTAAGTGAACAAATGCAAAACACTGGAAGAAAACATCTTAATATTTGTCACCCATCGTATCGAAATGAGGATTAAGTCAAATTTGGTCAAAATGACCTAACCACACTTTCTGATTCCTGGCTTTAAAAGCTACATTTTGAAAACATTGCTAGCTCACATTGAAAAATTCAAAATTTTAAAGGCGATTTTCCTCAAACTCAAGTTTTTTTGTTGCTACTGTTAAAAAATGCTCCAAAACTTTGTTTAGGATTATATTTCAGAAAGACAAACAAAAAAAAAAGTGAAACCAACAGGTGTGTGGTCGAGTTGTAGTAAACTCATTGTGTAACTAACCCCACCCCCCCAAGGCAAATTTGAAAAATTCCAACAAAGTGGGTGGTGCCAAGAGACACTAAAGAAAATGGCCAAGTGTGGGGATGAGCAAGGTGGTGTGGTAAGGATGAGGGAACATGTCAGCTAGCTTTATTTTTTATTTGACAAACTAGCATTTCTTTCATGTATTATATAAAAAGTAAGGTAAAGTTTCATGACATACATGCAGCTGGTTTCTGCTTCATGTCTCTTTTCTTTCCTCTGCCTGGTTCATTTCTTATCGTGTACATGTGAGGGAAGTTGGTCAGTTTCTCCATTGAAACACAGGGAGTTACCAGACAACGCAGGTAGTTCAGGCACAGCGGGTCTAATCGGTGCCCAATCGGACCGAGCCACTGGCTCAAGGTGCTGACTCAGCAATGCATGAAGCTGGTGCTGCGAGGCAGTGGAAGACAGAATGGGTCTGGTTTCTGAGTGTTAAAGTGATTATAGCATCTTTGCTAACATGGAAGAAGCAGGTCGGAATAATGGATGGATGAAAAAAATGTTTAACATTTGTTTTCGTATAACTTCCTACAGGAGGCCATGGAAAACTCAGATGCTGTTTTGGAACCTGAGCATCATATAAAATGCGGCAGTCCTACGTGTGATAAAGACAGAACTTCAAATACGAGTAGGAAACTTTGCATTCAAAAGCAAAGTTACAAGCTTTGATGAAATTTATGCAACTAATGACCTGTATTTTCCAGGCATCCCAGTGAATCCAACGCCAAGCGATGCTTCTGATTGTTCTGTGTCTGAAAACAACTTCTTGAAAAACCCTGACAACATTAAAAAAGAGTAAGTTTCACAGAAACGGCTTTGCTTTTACAGACAGTGTATTGGCATCAAGACTAAATGACAATTACACCTTTTATTTAACTTAAGACTCTACAATCTGTAAAAATATATATGTGTTTTCCCAGACCTGATCTTCCTCAGGTGACAATTAGGTATGATGTGAATGAAAAGCAACTCCTCCAGTTCTTCAATAGCCAGTGCCCCATGTGTCAGTCAAACGTAAATTTGGAGAAGGTCGTGTGTGGCTCTGTCTTCACCCTGACCCTGAGGTGTCCTCAGTGTGGCTACAGTAAGGAGTGGAAAAATCTGAACATCATAGCAGCCGGTGATGAGCATCAGACAGAACGCACAGAAACTCCTTTAAAGGTTTTTGTTGCTGGGTTTTTCCTAATCTTTACATTTGACATAGGATTACATCACAAAACTTTAAACACACTGTTGTGTTGTATGTTCATTTTAGCTAGGGCCAGCAGAATCTATGTTGTAACACTAAAATCTAACCTTACTTGATTTCACAGACGGTGTCAGACAGCGTTCCCAAACTTGACGGTAAGAAAGACAGAATTTCATAAATGAGTAAGAAAATTATGAGAGAAATCTTGTGCCAGCTGGAATAGAGTTTGAATTGCTTCGATTGAATCTGACTGTGCATAATTTGAAATAGAATGCATTGGTTTGAAAATGAATTTTACTCAATTGAAACTGAATTTAATGGTTTGAAACTGAATTTAATGGTTTGTATCTGAATGAATTTGCTTTGAAACTGTATTCTGGTCTATTAAAAATTCAGTTTGACTACTTGGCCACCCTTGAAAAAGAGATCTGAGATCTCAATGGGACTTGCCTGGTTAAAGAACGGTAAGTAAGAAAATAAATAAATAAGTAAATAAATAAATAAATAAATAATTTAGTGAAATTTATTTTCCAACCAATGCATTCAATTTGAAATTATGCACATTCAGATTCAATCTGAGAAATTCAAATTCAATTCCTGCCGGCACAAGATTTATCCCATAGAAACTTTGCAATTAAAAGGAAAGTCACAGACTTTGATGAAATTTTTTTTTTTGCGACTAATACGCTGTGTTTTTCAGGCACCCAAGCAAATCCAACACCAAATGATGCTTCTGACTTTTCTGTGTCTGAAAATAACATCTTGCTAAACCCTGACAACATTAAAAAAGAGTAAGTTTCACTGAAACCGCATTTGAAATCAAGACTCTGACTAAAATACAGTAACTGTTTTTATTGCACAGACTTGCTGTTCTACAGTCTGTAAAAATATATATATGTTTTTCCAGACCTGATCTTCCTCAGGTGACAATTGGGTATGATGTGAATGAAAAGCAGCTCCTCCAGTTGTTGAGTAGCCAGTGCCCCACCTGTCAGTCAAAAGTAAATATGGAGAAGGTCATGTGTGGCGTTGTCTTCAGTCTGACCCTGAAGTGTCCTCACTGTGGCTACAGTAAGGAGTGGAAAAATCTGAACAATAATAGCATCCCAGCAGTCGATGATACACATCAAACAGAAACTACTGCAGAGGTTTGTATTACTGAGTTTTCCCTAATGTGCTTTACATTTCATACAAAATTGTCTCGAAACTTTAAGCAAACACTGTTACAATGTATGTGATTTTTAGCTACGGCCAGCAGAATCTATGTTGAAACACTTAAATCTAACCTTACTTGACTTCACAGACGGTGTCAGACAGCGTCCCTGACTTTGACAGTGAGAAAGACAGAACGTCAGATATGAGTAAGAAACTTTGCATTTCAAAGGAAATTAACAAACCTTGATGAAAATGTTTTTAATGCGACTAATATGCTGTATTTTCCAGGCGTCCCAGCAAGTCCCACACCAAGCGATGTTTCTGACTGTTCTGTGTCCGAAAATAACATCCTGCAAAACCCGGATGAAATTAATAAAACGTAAGTTTTATTAAAATGGCTTTGCTTGTACATACAGTGTGCAGATAATGGAATCAAGGCTCTGACTAAATAATTACTCTTTATTGCACATATTTACTGTAAAAATATTCAATGTGATTTCTCTTCCACCCAGAGCTGATCTTCCACAGGTGAAAAAGGGGTGTGTTGTGAATGAAAAGCAGCTCCTCCAGTTGTTCAGTAGCCAGTGTCCTGCCTGTCAGTCAAAAGTCCATATGGAGAAGGTGGTCTGTGGCAAAGCCTTGTCCCTGAACCTGAGGTGCTCAAAGTGTGACTACATTAAGGAGTGGAAGAATCTGAACTGTAAGAACATCCCAGCAGCCGGTGATACACGTCAGACAGAAACTACTGTAGAGGTTTGTGTTACTCTGTTTTTCCTAATCGGCTTTACATTTTACTAGGGATGGGTACAGAATTCGATACTTTTTAAAGACGACCGAATTCTGTCGGTACTACCAAGAACTTATTCACGTAACATCAAACGGTTCCATGTTTCAGTACCTACATTGTGACCGTATTGGCGTAAGAGTGGGAAATTTTCCATGCTTGTCCTGAACGCGGCTTCGCGCAAGAGCGTAATGATGTCAGCAGCCGCTGGTTCAGTAGAGTTCGGTGTAGCTTGAAAGCCCCGCAGCTCCTGGAGTAAAACTCGCCCAACAGACCGCCTCTGAATTATCTGGTGGATTAATTATCTGGTGAGCACGACGTTCACTTGCTCAAAGTAAATTAAAGTACAGCCACTTTCTTTATTTCATCCGCCATTAAACAGAGACCAGCAGAGGAAAACAACAGAGGTGATTCCCGACAGTCCGAACGTGTCTGACCTAAAGAGCACAAGCAGCCAGCTTTAAAGTGTTGGACGTGTTTTGGATGCTCAAAACGTAGCTTAAATACCTTTTTATTTACTTTAACTCCATCCTCTTGTTTATTTGATTTAAACTTATTTGCCTTCCATGGACCTCTTATCACACAATTTTCTAGCGAGGAAATGAAATCAATAAAAATACGTGGAGCTGGATTTTAATTTGTGCAATTAGACAAAACAGTCTTGTCGTTTTCAAGAGTTTTCACAAAGAAATTTGATAAACAACTGATGTTACAATACAAAGAGTTCGATGTTTTTAAATTTGTTGAATTTTGTATATTAAGAAATATGTTTAAAAAGTTTATTATTATTATTAATAAAAAAAATAAAAATAAATGACACAAAGTACCGAAAATTGGTACCGTTAGGTAGTGGTGCAGATTCCCAGGTACCGGATATTGGTACCGAATCGATTCAAATGTCAAAGGTACCCATCCCTACATTTTACACAGTTAACATTTTAAAACTTTAGGCAAACACACTGTTGCGATGTATGTGATCTTTTAGCTGCAGCCAGCAGAATCTATGTTGAAACACTAAAATCTAACCTTACTTGATTTTACAGACGGCATCGGACAGCGTCATTGAGTTTGTTTATTTAATTGCTGAGGAGGAGAATGATGAAATGGACTCACCAGTTATCTCCAGTGGCCCCAGTGAGGAGGATTCAGGTGAAGAATGGGACCCTGAGGACGAGGTTTTGTTTGGTGGGGAGCCTCATACCGAGTCTGATGATGATGATGAGTATGACGATGAGAATATTCCTTCCAGTCACACGGAGCTCTGCACAGACTGTGGGAAATTTTTTAGAACGGGAAGGCCCCACACATGCGAACATATAATCAAACCCTTTTCATGCAATACTTGTGGGAAGAGGTTCATAAATGAGACGTCTTTAACATATCACACAAGAGTACACGATGCAAACTATGTGGTGTCATGCAAATGCTGCTACATGAAGTTCAAAAATAAGGCAGACAAATCTGTTCACGAGAAGAAACATCTGACTGAAGAGAAGCCGTTTAAATGTCTCGACTGCTCGGAGACATTTGCAACATATCCTAAGCGTATGATCCATATGAAAGTACACAGGGAGGGACCAGAGGGGTTAAAATGTCGTGAATGTGGGTTGGAGTTTAATCGAATTGAACATCTTCGGAGGCACATAGTTGTACACACAGGTGAAAAGCCTTACAAGTGTGTGGTGTGCGAACGTGGCTTTAACCAGGCCGGGAATCTGAAGTCCCACATGCGCCTGCACACAGGAGAGAGGCCGTATATGTGTCACCACTGTTTCCAAGGCTTCAATCACAATGTGAGCTTGAAGAGTCACATCAAGCGTTACCACACACCCGGCTCTGAAAATGGACAGAAGAAGGCAAACAAAAGGAAACATGACGATGAGGATTATCAACCTGATGGAAGCAAAAACGAATCGGAACAGGATACAGACGATGATGTGCCGCCAAAAAGAACCTATCGACGCAAAACTAAGAGCACAGGTAGACCGAAAGGAAGGCCAAAGAGAAATAAAGCAGATCCTGTTTTTCAAGCAGAAGAAACACAAGAACGGAGCTCAGACACAGATACAGAAAACTAGAAGGACTCTGAGCGCAAACCTCCACCAAAACTCCAGGGTGACACAAGCAGTAATATGTATGGAACCATTAAACACACAATAACCTTGCTGGGGGAGGTAACTAGTATTCCTTGAAGGATGGGTTTCTACATGTTTTATTTTTTATAAGATGCCAAACGGGTGTTCTGCATCTGTATTTTTTATTTTATTTGTATTCTGAAATGGTATGTTTAGCAACATTTGTTCTTAAAAAAATGTCAGCAGGTTTTCTTGTTAAAGGTAGAATATCCAAGTGACTGATGCCACTTGAACAGTTTGCAAGATTTTTTTTTCATTTTATTTTTTACACATTTTTTGTTTTGTTTTAACATTTCTATGTTAAAAATTGTGTCTCTGAATATGTCAAAATGATTTTTAAATGGAAGGGATTTATTTATTTATTTTTAATATTATTATTATTATTATTTTTTAGAATTTGTATCAGCATTGTGGGAAATTCTGGAGGAAAATATGTTCAGCTGCCAGTGTCGAAAAACATTCAAATTGGTTTTGGAGATTTAATTAAACTTGTTTGCTCTGTACAATGTTCTGAGATGGCTTTTTGAATTGATGTAAAAACAAATCAAAGTAAGCTGAAAATATTAGGCATCTTCATTTAATTGTGGAGAGCTGGTTTTTTTTTTAAGAACGACTTTTTTCAGAGATGCAATTTTCATGGGATCCTTTTTTTAATTTCACATTTATATTATGTGCATTCCTAGATTTTGGAGCTCTTGAGTAAAAGTRTCCAAGTATTTTCTTCTCAGACCTACATGACAGGACTATTACAGATTAATTTGGCCACATCATTACATTAATGGATATAACTTTTTCCAAACTGATTCAAAAAGTTCAAGTTTAAAAGTCTGTATTTTGCTCAGTCTTTTGTTTTGATTTTAATATGTTTCAATAAAGTTTTTAAGGGAAAAAGAAGCCCTTGGTCACGTGAAGCTCTGCAGTTTACAATGGGCGCACTCTTTTTCTACCAGCCGTGCGAAGACCCGGGTAGAAATGACGCCGAGCGGTGAAGGGAGGAGCTTCTCCATGATTGGAGACCAARGAAGGTGTTCGTCGGAGGAAGGAGGTGTCGCAAGGACGAACGCGTCTAACCGCAATAGAAACGTAAAAATTAACAAAGAATTAACTACTGGTTAACATAATTCTAGGATTCATCACATTTAGCAGATTCACCACCTAGCCACTATCCGTTTTGTCAGCCGAGCTGCAAATGGTGTGCAGCCAGTGTCCGCGGCCACTCTTGACCGAACCGCAAAAAAACTGCAGAAGAAGAAGACATCGAAGGAGAAAGGGCAGCAGTGTAAACTTGTGAATCCGTGTGCTGACTGGTGTAACTTTTTGCCTCAGCAACAGAAAAAATGGTGTGTACTTGTGCGTTCCCAGGATGCTCAAATAAAGCGAAGTCCTTGTCGCCGTTTAAATTTCACCGAATTCCGTCAAAGGACGTGGACCTCCGAAAGTTGTGGCTTACAGCGATGAAACGCGACGTCAACACGCCGCAGACTGCACTGAGACGGCTCCGGGTTTGCAGCGCTCATTTCACGGACGAAGATTATACAGAACCATCGGCTAACGAGAAGGGCCAACGCTTCCTAAAGGACTCTGCTGTTCCCTCCATCCAGGTTAGCTTGCTAACGATATTAACCAAGTGGTTTTTTTTTTCTATTTGATATGTTGACATTTTATTACACATTTCATACGAGGAAATTGCACGTTTCGTTTGACAGCTTTCTAAAAAAAACAAAAACAATTTCAGGTTTGCACCACCCCTAAGAAGAAGACCTCCACATTAGCATGTAAAGTAAAGCTTGTTCTTCATGATGGAGGTCCTGAACAATCATCCCAGAAACCTTCAGCCTCTGGTCACAATCTGGAAAGGCCTGTAGTTAAAGCTGAGGTAAGAAAACAGACAGTTGTGTGCAAATACAATTTATCATTCGATAAATCATTGTAAATAGTGTCTCAAAGGGTARTAGTGTTCATTGGATCATGCTTTCTGTGAGATTGTAAACAAAGCCACAACACTTGATTGCTAATTTGTGTATTCTTGCTGGAAATGTCAAATTTATGACGTATGTTTGCTTTTCTGACAGTAAATTTGTTATCAAATGCACATACTGTAAATGTCCTGATGCATCTCAGTAATCCAGGTAAAAAATCAAAAAGAAAAAAGTTGTATAGGTCTTCTGGACGGGTTCTTCTCTATTGAAACGTTTCGTCTCTCCT